AAGAAAGAAAGAAAGAGAAAGAAAGAAAGAAATTTCTAAGCAGTAGCACAGAACACTATTAAGCCCTAAATCAGGGCTGCGCTAAAAAAGTATCTGTTGGTACAAGGTAGCTATATAAGAGACAAGGAGAGGTGAAAGAAAGAGGGAGGAAAAAATCTTTAAAAATTAAAAAAATAAAATAAAAGGGAGGGAGAGAAGGGGCTTGGGCGACAGGAGACCATGCCTCCCATATGAAGGAGTCCTGCTCATCAGCTCCAGACAGCTATTGCCAGAATGGGGCACAGGCCTCAATGTACCAGCTTTGATTTTTTAAGAGACATATGAAATTCTAATTTTTATATGCAATCTCCCAATTGTATGTGTTGGCAACTAAATCAGACTCTCAAACATGCTGCAGACTAAATTCAAACAGCAGGAGTCCACTTTGCAACCTCTGCTCTGAGGATATAAGGCCATCATGAGACTTTTGAATTGGGAGTCAGCAGGTGGGGGGGCCTCAAGGAAGAGGTGGGCCTGCAGATAGGCCTGAAGGGCAGGTGGTGTGGAGAGAGAGAAGGTGAACCTCTTGTACTTTCTGGAAGGAGCCATAACCTCTTGCCTCAGCCCTTTTCTCAAGTGACTGCCTCTCCCATTTCTCCTAGGTAATTTCTAATCGTTCTTCAGTTCTCAATTTAAATAGCTGTGGCTCTCGGAGGCCTTCCCCGATGCCCCACTGCTGCTAGATAGGCCCCTGCGCACCCCTAGAGGCTTCTGCATGTGTTACCACTGCCTGTCAGGGCAGTCTTGTTCCCTCTTGGGTCCGCAGCACCTAACAGCGCAGTGCATCCGAGACCCTCAGAGTAGACACAGGCGTTTGCGAGGGAACACAGAAATGAGGTGTTTTAAGTAGGGACATGTGTGGAGAAGCAGCAGGACTCAAGTCCCTGGGAAAACCTCCCAGCTCCTGCCTCACCTGGGCCCCTGTGCTCTCCTTTCTCTTGCAGCAAGTCAAAACTGTGCGATTTCAGAATTACAGCCCTCCTCCGGCCAAACAGTACACCTCCCACCCGTCAGGAAAGCCTGAACAGCCTGCCATCCCCAAGGGGTCCCAGCCCGAAGCCGCCCCCTCAGGCCCAGAGATGACCATCCTATTCGCCCACCGAAGCGGCTGCCATTCGGGACAGCAGACAGACCTCCGGAGGAAGTCGACTTTCGGCAAGACCACCACCCCAGTGTCCACTGCTTCGGCCACACAGACCGTGTTTCCCAGCAAATGAATCTACGGGTGGCTTTTCCCAGACCCCAAAGAGGTGAATTGCATTTAAATACAGTCTGCCTCCACTGGTGACATCCTGCCATTCTTTGGGTTCTCGAGCTCGGGCCCTTGTTCCGCCAGCAGGTGGGAGAGGAAAGGCCGGGAGCAGGGTTCCTGCCCTGGGTGGGAAGATAGAGTGCATGGCCTTCTACACGTAATGCTTTGATGCAGCAAGGCCGCTACTCAAACCAAGGAGTGGGAGACAGTCTTGCCCACCCTGTTCCCTCATCCCTTGTGTTCCCTGTAGCATTTCTACGGCGCTCTCAAAGGGGCTTCAGCCAGGGGCTTCACAATGGTGGGAATGTTGGCATTGCTTCTTTGACCTCATCACCATGTTCTCAACGAGCATTAGGACAGCTTCTGCCATCTTTGGGGCCTGTACGCTGACCGCTAGTGGCTGCCATACGTTGTTCCCTCCACAGAGTCATCATCCTGGCTGCCAAGGGAAAATTGGGGGGAAGGATGTATGGTGGATACTCTGATCTTCTGAGAACCCTCTAAAACCAAAGGGAGTCAGCTTAGTGGATTTGGTCCAAACAAGAAGGTCAGAGAGAAAGTGATGATCGATCACAATTTAAGCCTCTCGATCTGTTTCCCTACATATAATCCTACACGACACATAAAGCAGGAAGCACAGAGCTGGGGGTAGGGTCCTGTGTGGAATTATGGATAGTTCATTCTTCCTGGCTCCAGCCTGACTTCCCCAAGAAAACACGGCATGCTTAAAAAGAACTCCGTAAGGGGCTTGAGTTTAGATATATATTCCATTTGCATGACAACATTCTTTACCTTCTCTGATTCGTTCCCGTTTGGGGCAGACTAGCTGTTTCACTGGGTTGTGGGATAAGGCAGCAGGGTCAGTGAGGAGATGGCAGTCCAAAGCTGGGGTGGAGACATTCCCCAGAGAACAGCTGCTGTCAAAGGGACCCAGCAGAGAAGGTGGGAGAGGAAAGGGGGAACAGAGGAGGAAAGGGTGAGACACAAACAAAAGCAGTCAGAGAAAAGGTGGGGGTGGCGAATAGAACAGAGGAAGATAGATTGGGTGGATCTGTCAGGGAAGAAGGGAAAAGGGGAAGAGCGGCTTTGACACTCATGACAACTGGGAACAGAAGGGTGGAGTCTGCAAAAGCAGATGACCGCATTGAGACGGGACTGAAGCGAAAGCCTTACAAACGGGGCTGAGGGGGCACCCCAGAGAGCTGAGGCAATGTTGTAAGACAACCCATTAATTCTCATTAGACTTAGCTGTTGTGATTTAACATTTATTGCTTGCCCATCAATGTGGGCACCTTAGTACATAAATGCCATTTGCCACTAAGGCTGGGTGTCATTAAAAAAAACAAGGCTGGTCTAATTAGACCTTTTCCCTGGATAGTTCTTGAAATCCTGGGATTAAAAACATTTATCTTTTACATAACCCCCCCCCACACACACACACACACACACAGCCAACTGAATTGTCCACATACTTTTGCAGATATTAATAAAGCAAAAACAAAACCATAATCCTGCCAAGGACACTGCACGTATGTCACACCTATGGAGTTGGTAGAGCCAACCTGGTGACACATTCTAGTGTTTCTGTGAGATGTGACCCTTGCCTACTTTGCAGAAGCAACACGAACGACTCCTTACCTCACTGAGCTGAAAAATAATCCACATGGAGAATTGGGAGAAGGTCACAAGGACAGGGAGGCATCCTGTGATTTGTCAAAATTTAAGTACCTAAGCTGCTTCTCTATTCAAAAGAACACCCTCAATGAGTTTAGCGATGAGTTTAGCAAGCTGCTCTACTACCAGGGTGACAGGTATATGAGATGACCAGCCAATAAAGTATTTATTCTGTGCCTCAGTAACAATGGATCCAGTTAATTTTTAACTGTTGTGGCTGACAAGCGGGTTGTACAGGAGTAGTGGAGACATGATCCTTGACTTCCAAATGAAAAAGAATATTCTTCCAATTGTGCACTCTCTGTAGAGGGTTGCCTTTCTGAGAAATGTGAACAACTCCAAAAGTTTGATACCCCCATTCCATCCAGGCTCTTCACCAATACCCAACATCCCACTTCCTCCCTCCCAAACTAAACCCCATGTCTGTAGGGTTATATGAGGATTTGAAAGGAGCAGGAGAGTGTCATTTCCAAGTAAAAGGTGAACCCACTGGCACCTCCAATCACTTATTCCACCAATGTGTTTCAGACATTTCCTGTGAGCAGGGCACTGCAGTGAGAACAACAGATACATCCTCTCCTATAATGTCTGCTGTAACCTTATAAGGCAACTGTAAGTGTCCCAGTGCAGAGCCAAGGAAACCAAGGCTTAAAGGGTAACCACAGATTGTAGCAGAGTGATTTTGACAGCTGCCCACACCCTTGAGTTCAAGGTCTATGATTTCAAAGCCCAACGTGGGACTATGATTTATGAACTAAGAGACCATCCTTGGCCTCAGGCCACTGACTTCAAGCTGCAGGGACATGACATAGTACAGTGGTTACAAAGGTAGGCTCTGCTACACAAAGAATAATTTCAGATCCAATTCCCAATTACCACTTACTAGCCATGTAATGTTGGGCAAGTTACTTAATCTCTCTGAGCCGTGTTTTCCTACCTATGAATGATAATAATGCCAAACTCATTGGGCTATTGTAAGGATTAACTGACATAATATTATAAAGTGACATCGTGCACACCCCACACATGTCAAACTTGGATGTTTTTAAGGGAGCGGGCCCCTGAAATTCCAGGTGAGAAAATCTAAAGCAAGGGCATGGCCAGGGTGAAGGTGCTAGGAGGAAACCAGTGTAGCCCCATCATGGAGGTCAGAACATAGACTAGACTAAGTCCTGAAGGACATATAGGAGTCAGAAAAAAGCGTGGGGAGAATGGCATCCCAAGCAGAGATAGAAGCATTTGACATCTGGATTTAAATGTATTAATCAAGCCAAGTTCTCTTAGAGGAATCCATTTCTTTGTGGAACATTCCAGGGATCCTAGGTAGAAACAAGCACTTCACATCAAGCATCCCATCCTGTGTGAGCTCCACCCCTCAGCTAAGGCTCAGAGGGGCTAGGAAAGTGCCCCTTCACCTCATAAGAAGCTCGCATCTCAGTGCTAGGAAAGCTGCTGAGGGTAGGCTCTGACTGGGGAGGACGGGGTCGGGGGACATCTGAGAGGTGATGGAGGGGCACAAGCAGCTGAGGACAGACTCTCAGGGCCACACTTGAGGAAATGGTCTCCTTAAACAGCATCAGGACCCTCACTTAGACCTTGTCTCCTTTCCTTTCTCATGTGGGACCAGTGACACCTCCTCTACCCTCCACCCTCCACAGACAGGGCTTTTGGAGCAGGAAGAGTTTAAAACAGTGCCCCACCTGTGGGTTGGTGAGCTTCAGGACTGACTCAATACATGGTCTGTCCGTGTCAGGCCAGCGTTCCAGAGCAGCAGCAATCCAGGGGTGCTGGGTCAGGGTCGAGCTGTTGTTAGATAGACATGGACTCTTCAATTTGTCCCAGCCCCAACAGCCTGCTTCACTCACTCACATGACCTACACTTGGGACGAGGTGTGTTCTCCTAGAGTCCTAGAGTGAGCTGGACTTCACTTCAGAATCTTCAGTGATGCACTGATCATTAGAGCTAGACCCTTAGAGATCAGCTGACTCGGGCACTCAGGTCTCATGGCCTGACAGGGCTCAACAATTTTGAGGCAGGGACTAGACACCTGTGTTTTCAACGTACTCCCCAGGTGATTCTGATGTACAAGAATCAAATCCACCTTCCTCATACCATATAGTCAGATGGGAATGTGGCCTCACTGGTGGCTAATATATTGAACTCTGCCTATAGTGACAGGTGAACAGGGGCCCTGAGCTCCCCAAGGCCTCTCCCCACTCCTGCCCTTTCTCGCCATTTTCCCCATCGTCCAACCGCTAAAGGGCTCAGGCCAGGTGCAGCTAAGACCTCAGCAATAAAGGCCTTTTTCATTCTCATTGGCTAGTGACTACACCATACTGGTTGTTATGTATCTCCACTGTTACCCTGTTATACAGAAAGAACATGGCCCAGAGAGGTCCCTCAGATATTGGGAGTACTCTTTCCCCCCCAAATCCTAGCCACTGTCCAGCTCCCTGACAATCACTTCCATCAAGGCTGTTGGCTTAGGAAAGGCGCAGACTTAGAGGGCGGGCAGTTCCTTGCTCACCGCTCTACCTTTTTCGCCAAACATCTTCATAGGTACAAGCAATGCTCGTTAGCTTCCCAGCTCCTCTGGCATCAACCGGGCAGTCAGGGAGGTCATTTGTTTCAGTACGATGAGCAGACATGATCCTCATCCGCTCGCTCGCCTCTGCCCATACAGACCAGCCTCACAGCCCCTGAACTCCCTTTCCAGGAAGTAAACAGCTGTGGCAGGCAGGGGAGCGGCGTCCTATCAAGTCTCCCCACTGGGAGCAAGTGCTGAGCAAGCTAGGCTATCCCAGAGCTGGCAGCTGCTGCCACGGGTGCTTCTCTTGTTTTGTCTTGACAGTCAAGAACCCAGTTGTGCATTTGGCGAAGAGAAGGGAGTGTTAGCACTTCCAGCGACCTCTCAGGTGACCATGAATGACAGTCACTGGGGGAATGCATCTGGCAGGCAAGACCAAATCAGAGGAGTTAACTCCAAAGATCCTTTCCAGCGGGTTGGTGTCCCTGAGAATAAATCTTACAAGGACATTCTGCTTGAAATAGAACAATGTTAAATGAGCAAGCCATCTGTTTGCCAGGCCATAGTATTGTGTCCTAGACCAGAGCAGAAACAAAATGTTCTCAGGAAGCCCTTCTGCTTACTGACCTCCACTTTGACAAATAAAACACAGCAGAGGTGGGACCAAAGGTGACAAGGGGTGGGGGGGGCGCGGGAGGGGGAGCGCTGCAGATTCACCTGTACACTCATTCAGTAACAATCATCCACCACTCACTCTGAGTCAGGCTGTGTGAAACACAGTGGGGATTCAGGGGTTCAAAAGAGAGAGAAAATATATGTGGGCC